TATATATATATATAAACTCAATAATATATTTATTGTAAAAATAAACTATACATTCAAAATCCAAAATGGCCGAAAAAACCAGGTTTTTGGTAATAAAATGGCTGTAAGTGCCCTGACCACCATAATCTTGGTTGTAATTATGCTATTCGATCCTGGATATTCAGTAGACCATATATAAACTACTCTAACATTTTATACTGAAAATACAGTATAAATTCAAAATGAAAAATGGCCTCTAAAAAGGGGGAGCTCTAGGTTCACTGATTGTCTTTATCTAGGTTATCAATAGCTGTCTTATATTGCATACTCCGGGGCACTATACCTGAAGCCGAGGTGGGTGTGAACTCTCAAGCAAGTGGCCGTTCCAAAACTTTCCACCTATACATTGTAGAAGAAATTACACCACCGCTGCCAGAAGCTAAAGTGTAGCACCACAAACTAAACTAAATGTGACAAATACAGATGGATAAAAAAATGTTCCTTAATCCAAACTCTCATTTGAGTATATTTTATTTGAGAAACTGACACCATGCGAGGCCGAGGTATAGGTTTGAACTCATTGGCAAGAAGCCGTCAGCACTGTACAAAGGACTTTGAATCTGGTATGAAAAGATGAATCTGGTATGAAGAGATGCATACTGCCTTCAGTGTTTTGTAAAACTCCTTGTAGCTACTAGTATCTGCATAAAGCTGAGTCTTCGCTGCAAGGTTTATCCACTCAATTGTTTTTGATTTCTCGTAGTTTACACCAAAAATTTGCTGTAGGTAATATGAAAGGTTGCTTTTTTTCATAGGCTGAGTAAGACATCTCTTGTGGCCAGATATCTTTTTCCCCTGCACATCTTGGAACTACATGTCATTTTCTTCAAACCAGTCTTTGATTTTCCTTGGGGAGAACCCTTGGACTTGTTCTAAGGTCTGGCGGATAGCAGTTTTCAGGTGTGACAAAACAATTCTGGACAAAAGTTTGCAGTGTAACTTGCATCCTAAAGCTTTGATTGAAGTTTCACCTGGATGTCAGCTTTCATTGCAACTGACAAGTTGCCAACCTGAAACTTCTCCCTTTCAGTGTTTCGAGGATGTTGACTTTGCCAACTGTGGGGTGTTCTGTACGAGGCTGGTCAGATCAGTGTAAAACTTGCACTTATCGTCAGCTTGAACGGCCGGGGCATAAATGCTGATGAAAGTAACATGATGCTTGCTTTGAGGTGAGGCACGTGGAGATGATGCGATCGGAGTGACCAGTTGTTGTATTATTGATTTTTAGGCAATTGAGTTTCTCATCCTAAAAGCACTCACAGGGCATTTTAGCTGTCTTTAACTTGCCTGACCAGTTGAGAGTGTAGCCAGCTCTAAGTTCTCAAATGCTGCCTTCCTTCGCTAAAAGTGGCAATGTCAATATGAAATTGTGACACAGTTCATGTACAAAAAAAAAAAAAAAAGTACAGACACATTCTGGACGTCAATATCTAATGGATCAAGCATAGTTATTCGTACTCCATTTGAGGCATGCGTCTGCCTTTCTGTAAGTGCTCGATGACCTGTTGGTTGCCATTTTGAATATATTATTTAATTTTGCATTTTCACGATAAAAATGTATGGTATTGTATTTTAATATTGTTTTATTGAATTCCTTGAACTAAAGAACATAGGTATTGACACCAAGATCATGGTAATGTGGGCTTAGGGCCTTTAAACTGCTAAAATTGTGTTTTTTAAATTTCCATTTTTTGGAGGGAAGGGGTGGAGTGACATCATGGTTCCCGCAATTTTTGAAATCACCATACTCAAAAACCCCCTAGGACAAAGTTTCATGCTTCTTTCCAGAAGTGCACGCCCAAGTCACATATCCGCCCAACTATATCGCTGTGGAATGATATGGACATAAATCTGCTATAATAAGCGCCTCTTTACGGTGGCTAGGTAGTCACGGACCACGCTCATACGCAATTCAGCAAAATGACGCTGCAAAAAGTTATTAATTATTCTCCTACCTTCACCTTTATTAAACACACTGCAGTTACAATAAAATTGAGTACCATGAGAACTGTATATTACTTACCGGAGAATGTACTGTAGTCTGTTTGGCTGTAGTCATAGGCTTGAAACTTGTCAGACCCTTCTTTTACAACTTCATCTCCCTTGCCTGCCCCTTCTTTTAACCTTTCATCCCCCATTTTCACAGATGTTACTGATGATGATGATGATGCATAGTAATGCTGACCTTTTCGCTGCCAATATAATAAATATTATTAAATTGGTATACACTTATTTTGAAAATTTAGAAAAATATCATGTATATTACACCATATGACACTTTAATACAGTCAACTCTCCCAATACCGACCACCTTTCGGACCGTCCACTTTGACCGGTTTTCCGGACGGACCGGTTTAGGGAACGTCATGTTTACCTACCTTGGTTCACCGACCTTGAGTCGATAACAAGCCTAGGCCTAGCAAGGTACAGCAGATAGTTACACCACACTGCATCATGTACTGTGTAGGCCTACTGACCTGAGAACGTCATTTAAAATTCATGTTTTACTTTATTTTTACATTATTTATGTTGTACGTACCTAGTTTTTTGTGTCAAAGTCTATTATCAATAAAAATTTACACAAATCAACATAATGTGTATCGTAATTTATAATAAGTGTCAGTATTTTTCGTTCGATCGCCATATCTGCTTCGCTTCAACGTGGTTGTACGCTTGATTGGTTTTCGATGCCGCTCTGGCATAACCTTGTTGGTGGGTCACTGAATGCTAAAAATAAGTGCTAACTTATGCAGCACCCCCTAAACTGTGTCAGCCAATAGAAAACAGTCACAGGTGACAGTCAAAGTGTCATGCGCAATTGTTTTTATGAAATCAATAGCCTTATGTTGGGACCGCTTGGTTTGCCTTAGCGTGAGAATGAATGCAAAATGTGAGAAAAGGATACGTTCCTTAATAAAGAAAACACACTCATGAACTTTTTTTATCAGTTTATTAAACAAATGAAATCTAGGCTTATTGCAATTAATTAATTAATGCGCTATCGGCGTGTCACATGATAACGATCGTACACGTGGTGTTGTTCTGTGATTGATAGTTGTTATTTGGAGTCAGTCGATGTGTCTCCGATGATTTAATTAACATATTTCGTCAATAAATCATCGTTTTAAACTGGCCGTCCGGTTTTCAGAAGGTAATTTTATTGTTCCGGACTTTTATTGACCGGAATTTGGCTGGAATTCGGAATTGGGAGATCCGGTTTTCAGAAAGTATTTTAATACAGTAAGAATAGGAATGATTTTGGGACTTTAAAAAACGACCAGTTTTGCGCGAAATCCGGTTTTCTGGGTGGTCGGTATTGGGAGAGTTGACTGTACCATATAATAACATTTAAGCAAGGCCCTGTGATATGCTTGACAAATAACTCTGGATGATTTAATAAAACTTTTAAAAACTGGGGGGAGGGGAGGGGAGGTAGGGAAGCTTATAAATAACAGAGACCCAGGAATATTAAAAAGAGACCTTGTAACAGCAGCACAGGCTGAGTTTCTGTTTTCCAGTAGGTCTCTGGTCTCTGTTTTTCAGGTCCCTGTTTTCATAACAATCTAATATACTAAGCATAGGATACTGAACAATACCGAAATATGTCTACACTTTAGGTAGGCGTGACTGGATAAATGAATGCTTGAACAAAACAACAAACAAACAAGTTCAAACAAACAAACAAAACAAACAAAAACACACGTTCCTTTTCCTGGCCCCTCATTGGCAGATGTGCCACCTTGTAACTATCAACATGACGCCCTCCCACCACTTTGTGGGGAAAATTTGTTTTGAATTGAAAGAGCGAAGCCTGATACATGTACTGTAGCATTCCAGTTTAACCTAAAAAATTATGTAGGAAATAGCATGAAAGACAACTGAAAAGCTAAGAGAAAAAAAAAATATCTATAAAGTATTTTAACAAAAACCTGTTATTCATCATCTGTTCGTGGTGATGTAAATATATCGACAGCTGTAAATATATCGACAGCTTTAAATAATTGATTATGAAACGACATAAATTAGCATGATGATCTAAAAATTAAAATTAACAAATTGCAAATTTTATTACGTGAGCAATAATGCAGCTGCACCAGAAATAGAAAGAACTTGTCATCATGTACTGTATAATAAATAAAGCATTGACACCACCATATTTAATTGAAAATCAGGAATATTGGGTCTCAAAAGAGCTAAGGTGATTAGTTTTTTAATCGGGCAGCATTTATCCTGCAAGCTACTATTGCAAACCCATGATCTCAGGGCACCACCAAAAGTAAAGTAAGCTTCTTATTTCTGTTGTCTACCATTTCAAATTTCCTGGCTGTAATAAAGATTATATTGGGAAAACAGACAGATGTCTAACAATTAGAATAAAATAACATTCAACAGGACCTTAAATTAGTGTTATATTTTGACCACAATAAGTTCATGTGATGGTTTTCAACATATCCTAGCCATGTATAATTTACCTATTAATGGTGATCTAATATGATGCTGCTCAGGGTTCTAATTATCATTCTTTAATATCCAATAATACTGAAGTTATTGACTTTTCTAGACATTGGTCTGAATTATTATTTAAAGAAGCCCTGACTATTAGGTGCTATAAACCATGTTTAAATACCGGATTAAAAGCATCCAAGGAACTTGCATTGTTCAATTAGCCATAAACAACATCTAGTTTATTATTTATTTATTCATATTATATATATATATATATTTTGTAATATGAAATTTTAAACTTTTCTAATGTAATTATTTGAATGTTTTGATATTTCTATATGTATTTTTATTTTGAATTAACTGACGTTTTTGAAATTTAATTATAATAATATGGTGTATATTTATATATATATATATATATCTGTCTCTTATACACATCTGTTTTCCTATGTTGTCTTTATTTGTTGATTGTAAACAAACGTTTTCAGCCTTTGGCTGTTGTTTTGTTTTGTGTGTTATACCTTAATAATAAAAAAAAATAAAAAATATTACAGTGTGTTCACACTTTATCAAGATTGATTTTGTTTTAAGGTATGCTGTTAATTCAATAATAATAAATGTGACCCAAGCTCACAAACGGGCTGTAAACTCGTCCTCAGGCCAAAATGAGTTTTTGCTATAATGGCATAGAACATATCATTTACTTTAAAATGACAGTTATGACCGTTGGAATAATTTTCAACTTTCTTAAATCAAGTTTTGAGAAAAATGCTTTTATTTTCGGCAGGTTTCTATTCATTTTTCACTAGCTCCCATCCGAAAATGGCTAAATTTTACCTCTTACAGTTAGAATTTTAAACTCAAACTTCAGGAATAGGAAGATTAATATTTATACTTTATTTATTACACAAAAACCCAATTCACACAAAAATCACGTTCTTTGGCCTATTCTGGGTATTGAGGCTTGTTTCTCAATACAGTGCAGTGCAAGATTACAGCACTTTTGTGAGCTTGGGTCATTATGTCACACCTTGTTTGCCTTGATTGGTCAATTTTACCGGTTTCTCGCTTTTGATTGGTTAGTTAAGTTACTTTAATTCTAGTATATATGGTCCCTATGGACAAAATTATTTTTCATTCCTGTTGATGTTCGAATAAAGAACGAAACATTGAATCATGGCTTCTCTATAGTCTTTTTGAAGTCTGCATGATATTATACAGGGATGTCCATTTGCTAGAAGCATTATAAAGTTTAATGACATAGCCAGTAATGCACAATGTGACAAGGCCAGTGACCATATTTACGCTTATAACTGAAAATAAATAAATTCTAAGAGCCAAATAGGACAACAAAAAATATGGGTTAGAATGAAATTGAACGCAATGATTGTAATAAAAGACTTTGAAAATTAGGTATACAAATTAGGTTTCACTCAATAAAAAAAATGTATAAAATAATAATTAAAAAAAAAAAAACATTAGGTATACGGAGAGAAAAGTACATAAGCTATATGAATAAAAGAACATTACAGTAGGCACAGGAAATTAAAGAACATCAGGTATGGAATAATGAACATTTGTCGTACGGACAAAAGAACATTACGTATGTATACAAATTAAAGAACATATAGCGAAAATTAGGAATACAGACAAAGGAACATGGGTACAGGAAAAAAGACTAGAATATTAAAAGAATATTAGGTGTATGGTAAAAAGAACATTAGTTAAACAGACAAAAGAACATTTATATGGTCAAAAGAACATCAGGTATAAGGAAAAGAACAACAGATATACGGGCAAATGAATTAGGTATACAGATAACAGAACATTAGGTGTATGGCCAAAAGAACATACTGTAATGTGGACAAAATAACATCAGGTGTACTGTCAAAAGAACACTCTAATTTATTTATCTATTTATTTATTGAACATATATGTATACATATTTATTTATATTTATTCAACCTGTTTTACATAAGGTCCTGTTTTATGATACAAGAATACAGTATCAAATCAAAAGATTGCACATTAATGAAGTTGAAAAGGTCTTAATTAAAAATGCAATAGCAAGCTTAATCTAAATTACAGAATACTGTACATTGTATTTTAGTTAAAATATATTGAAAAAGTAAAAGTGCAAGGCACAGTATGGTAATAATGCTAAAAGCCTTAGTTAAATATTAAAATAGTAAAGTACAGTAAACAGGTTAATAAATTTTTTTTTAAAAGAAACAGCCGAGTTAAAACATGGGTAAAAGTATAAATATACAAGTGTAAGAATTGTAAGATGGAGGGTATTTAAAAAGGGGTCACTTGATTTACCAGCAGAAATTAGAATGTATAATAGATTATATTTTTATAGTTTAATTTAAAATTTAATAGTTGATTCTTTTAAAATCTGCGGTAGACCTGCCAACCCTTGGGTCATGAAAATCTGGAGATTTTTTTAAGAAGCTTAAAAAAATCTGGAGAATTACCAAAAAATCTGGAGGTTTCAAGAATTAAACAAAAGATGATGCAAGATTCCAAAAAAGTCACGTCCCTAAAAATCATTGGCCGTTAGTGGCGACATTCAAATTGAAATGGCTGCTTGTTTATTGCACTGCGAAGCGAGTAGGCGGTGAATACATTGAATAATAACGATCAAATCAATCAAATTATGTATAAATCGGAGTATTTTGGGGGAGGAGAGGTGGCCTGTGAAATAGGGTGAAAATTACATTCGATCGGGAGAACTGGAGATTTG